GCAACGAGAATCGGTGGTTGGGATTTACCAAATGTGTGAAAAGCTCAGCCCATTGTTATTGCAGTGATTGCAGACTCTATTGACAGTGAGGTGCCTCATACGTCGTAGGAAGAAGGAGACAATAACAGGCATTGGAGTAGTCAGCTCTCATGTATGTACATGATACCAATAACTATATTAAGGGGGTGGGGGCACCTTAGGCACCTTAATACTTTGGGAAACCGATAGTAATGAGGTTGTTCAAAGGGGCTGGGAAGTTTGTCTTTCAGGAGAGCTCAAAAGCCGGTGGTCCAGGGATAATGATATAGAGACTGGATGAATGCAGCGATACTGAATGAAAAGGAATGGACAACGATCACAATGAATCTTGGACCAAACGCCTGCATAGTTTTCCAGGCCCAATCTATCTCTCTTTTAGCGGCTTGTACACCTGATAGGCTTCGGCAATTGTGGCAGTGACTTCTTTCCGGCTGATGACTGGCTCGAACACTGCTGGGATACCGTAGTGATTACGTCCGGTTCATTGGCTGTTTCTGCTCTGTCAGTATCGGTTCCTTTCGTGTCGCGGCGACACTGGGTCTTCGAGATTTGGACGCGTTTTGAATAGCGCTCTTAAGTTTCTCGCAGTTCGGAAGCTGCGCGTTTTCCATGCTCACGAACTGGGGAGGTGAAATTGTGATCACATTGCAATACTGCATGAAAGGCTTGACTGTTTAGATGCATTGATTAAAATATACCCAAAATAGCCTCACGGCCACCTAATAATTTATACCTTTCAACTTTGGAAGAACATCCCACCCTGTTGCTGAAAACTGCAGGAACCTGCAATCATCGGTTCAAGCACATTAGCTTTTAGGAAGCGTGACGACCAGACCACGGTGGGCCAGGTCCATCAAGCGTGACGACCAGACCACGGTGGGCCAGGTCCATCAAGTTAGTCCAGACCACGGTGGGCCAGGTCCATCAAGTTAGTATTTTACGGTAGTTGAAGTACCGGCGCTCGACCTGCCGCCGCACCTCCGCCTGGCATTCTGTGCTATCTAACTTTGGGTGGAGTAAGAATGGTATACTGTCACCGAAGACTAAGTTTTCCCCCAAACACAGTGCTGCTGATTTTTTTTTTTGAAAACTTAAAAATGTTCGGGTAAGTTGGGCCCAGTATTAAAGGAATCGTGATAAACAGTGGGAGGGCCGGGGTCAGATTCCTCCTAAAGAAGTGCATAGGGCCACATTTTTGTTCCTTGAGTTTGAACGTTGCTTGCAAATGGTTAGCTGTTCTCGAGAGTAGCGGTGTATGTTCATGATAATACCTTGGGAAATAAAGTTCAGCAAAGCTCACAGATGATCCACAGTAACTATAAGCACGACAGGAATATCTTTAAGAGTAGCTAAAATATATCGACTGCTCGTATATTCACATTGAATCATTTCGGCTACATTCCTACAGCATTGGAAGTATTTGATTGGCGCAGAATGATGGAGACGCAAAGGGGGCTGATGTGATGCCACAAAAACTCTCCGTGCTTTGCTAGCCAGTCATTTCTCAAAGCCCTTCGCTGACGAGGCACCTGCTGTTGACCCGCTCGGAGCAGGCCGCTGCGCATATACGAGCGCCGGCCCGAGCGTCATCCGAGTCCTGCTCACCTGGTAGGCATGGCTGCGGCCGACCCGTCCTGGACGCTTCGTCCGGCCGCGCGCGCTCGACTGGCCGACCATTGATCGGGGCGGGTCACGCCCGGCGGGTCAGCCGCGCTGACGTTACGGCAATGGGCCCCTGGTTACCGCTGGGGGGGGGGGGGGGGGGAGCGGGGGCACACGACCCGGACGGGCGCTGGCACGGTCGCGTTAACGGATCGTGTGGACGCCTTGACAGACAGACACCGTGTGTGGTGCCTGTTTGTTTGCTATTGTGGCAGCGGTCTATATGGGAGGCAGGTGAAGACGGTGGATTGTGTGGGGAGATTTGGGGAGGGGAAACGCCGCATTTGCCTGGTTTCCAAACAACACCCTATGATGGCGGATAGCCATTTCCAGCAAGGAAGGCGGCTTGTGCCGCTATCCTTCCCTTTCCACCGGCCTTGCGGGTAGATGTTATTTGGAGATTCATCGCACATCATGTGGTATCATGCATTTATAACTACGTGCTCTCAACACATACCCAAACATTCAACTGACCTATTGATATCTTAGGTAATCGCTCATGAGGATGCAGGTTTTTGAAGACTGAAATGCATATGTCGTTTGCCTGATTATAAAGTACATGAAAAATACTCTCACATACCCGTAGTTGGCGAGATACCAACGTCACGAAAGATACTTCCTCAGTAGGAGATGAGAAACGAGCACAAATACTTTACGGGGCCTTCGTTAGGTGCAGCTGCGGGATATAAACACGGCTGTAGTTTATGAGCGCAGGAAAACATCGTGTCTATAAAAATATATATGAAAGCATCATACATCATACAAACTGTAGGAGTTTGATGCATCGTACATAACTCTCCTTGTGCGTGCCAAAGGCGAAATAGAATTTGTTCAACACATTGCTTGTAAGCAAAGTCAAGCACCAACAAGCAAAAATAAATTTGAACAACTTTTGTATCTCGATTTGTATCGAACAAATTGCGTTTCGTGGACTTGCATTTTGTGACTAATAATAGCAATATACATGTGTTGAGTCTGTAGCAAGTGTGACAAGGATGTTTGCCACACGTTTGCGAGATCAGCCAGGTCTGATAACGTCCTGCTCACGAAGCTGAATCTCTGCTGAAAACCTCAAAGGTCCTTGAAGAGGTCCGCGTTGGGAAGAGCCTAGCATGAGCTGTGTCGGGTGTGCGCTATACTGTCCGAATGGCACGCTTCTCATTATCAGTGTTTATTGCATGATTTTCCTGGATGGCTCGCCTATCCTGCCCCGAAGCCCGCTTTTAATGAGTAGTTTTGCTCTGCAGACATGCTACTTGGTGCACTAAATCACCGCATTTAGCTTCATGGCACTGACTTTGACAAGCATCGATTAAAAGATGAGCTAACTGAGATTTTCCTTTCCAGTGAGAATCACCGTTGCAAATAAGAACGACTTAAAATGGAACTAGTCGCAACGCACGGCAAATCCGGCACCGCACGCCGCCCGGCTCGGCTCCGAGAGGTCATCGTGAATGAGTAACTTTCGTATCCCGAATACTGAATTACTTGTAAACGGCTAACAACCCTGTTAAAATGCAGAAATTACAACCGTCGCGGCGCGTCATCATCATATTTGTATGCTGCGTGATTACTTTCCATGCATACATGGGACAAATTCGCGAACGTAAAATGACGCATTGGTGCATAATGACGAAGCAAAAATGATTCTGGAGTAAGTTGACGGCATATGTTAATGGGCACGAGTCCTGGCGACCAACGATGGGTTTCGTTCCTCTCTATATCTTTTCCGTGCAATTGATATTTGCTACCAAATTAGGCCTTTGTTCAATAGCCCTGGTGGGAATTTTGATGTAGATATTCCATCACCTATTGTAAAATAATATGCTATGTCTATCTATCTAACGGGCCAAAGGTTTGCTTTGCTTTGCTTTTCAAAAAGGTTTGAAAAAGGCAAAAGCTTTGCAAAAGGCTCATACATTAAACGTTTCCGGACGCACAAACGCATGACGAAACCAATAGTGAAAAGCAGGCTGTGTCTTAAACATGGGGGAACAGTTACTCCAAACTTGACAGGAGGCTTCTCATCTGGCCGCCGAGCTCATCCACCAAACAAACACACGGCAGCTGCTTGGGTTAGACTCCAGTCACCATATAACCTCACAGAAATGTCACTACACACTAGCTGGAAGGTTGGACACTACTACCGGAGCTATTAGTGCCCCCTCTTTTAGTGCACAAGAGGCCGGCGTTCACCGACCCGCGGCACACACATCGCATGTACCTCGCCACCTGCCCCGTGGTCGACTCGTGATGACCCTGATGACCCGGTGGCGCGCCTGAGGAGCGCCCATGACGTGCGAGGCATTGTGCTCACTGGCTGGCACCAGTCACCGACCCGCCATAGCGGACCTATTCGCGAGGGGGGGGGGAGTCGTGAGGGGGACGAGTCGCGTAATGACATCCCGCCGCCGGCCGCCGGCGGCTGGATAGTGCGGCATACCGCAGGGCAGCTGGATAGTGCATCACACCGCAGGGCAGCGAATAGTGCGGCATACCGCAGGGCAGTGGATAGTGCGCCATACCGCAATGCAGTGGAGAGTGCGCCACACCGCAGGGCAGCTGGATAGTGCACCACACCGCAGGGCAGTGGATGGTGCGGCATACCGCAGTGCAGTGGATAATGCGCCATACCGCAATGCAGTGGAGAGTGCGCCACACCGCAGGGCAGCTGGATAGTGCGCCATACCGCAGTGCAGTGGATACTGCGCCATTCCGCAGTGCAGTGGATAGTGCGCCACACCGCAGGGCAGCTGGATAGTGCACCATACCGCAGGGCAGTGGGGAGTGCGCCATACCGCAGTGCAGTGGATAGTGCGCCACACCGCAGGGCAGCTGGATAGTGCGCCATACCGCAGGGCAGCTGGATAGTGAGCCATACCGCAGTGCAGTGGATAGTGCGCCATACCGCAGGGCAGCTGGTTAGTGCGCCACCGCAGGGCAGTGGAGAGTGCGCCATACCGCAGGGCAGCTGCAGAGTGTACCATACCGCAGAGCAGCTGGAGAGTGCACCATACAGCAGGGCAGGAAGCTTGCTGCACAGCCGCAAACTCGGAGTTCGTGCAAGTCTTTATCGTATCTGGCTTGCCGTGAAGGTCATGACAGGATTACAAAATCTACAGCCATAGCACAGCAGCACTAAGCAGAAGCAACTGCAGCAGTCATCCGCACTGCGGAATGGCAGCGTGACACGCAGCGGAGCACGCGTTTAGACCTTATCAATTCTGTTTGATCCATCGCGCATCCTGCGGGGTTATTCTTGATATATGCCTTTCGTGCCTTCACTTTCAAAGTCCGGCGATGGTTTCGACGCGTTTATTGCCCGTCTACACGACAAGACATTGGCGGAAGTCGTCCACCAGCTACGGAGCGTGGAGCCGACGCGTCGCCACCGCCTGGCCGGCTCACATCGAGCCCACGTGTTGGACCAGTGCCGACATCTGCCGGGGAACCACGAGCCGTACCTCGCGGACGACCTCCAACTACACATCAACTGGACACCGTGGGAAGACGACCGACCTGGGCCTAACATCCAGCGCGCCGCCAGCGCGGGTCACGACCTGGGCCTAACATCCAGCGCGGCGCCAGCGCGGGTCACGCGCCTGCGTCGACTGCGTTCCTGTCCTGCTAGCTTCGGCAGGCTGCAGACACGGACCGCCGTTCGGCACGGGAAAAGCACGCGCGTCAAAAACCTGGCCCCATAGGCCAGTGGTGTGTGCGGACCGCAACAGGAAGATTATATTCGTAACAAATAGGCAGCACAAGCATTAAATCGCTTTCAAAAACGCAGCGACGCTATCAGAGTGACATCGTATGCAAAACGACCGTAAGCAGGGCATGATTCTGTGGTTTACACTGATGAAAGAACACCGGAGATCTAGCGGAGTTGTACGGATATCCGCCGTACGCTAAAAATGTGCCCTTTTTGCAAGATTTCGCATCATGGTACATGATGTGGGTGAAAGAATTACGATGCCTGAGAATTTGATCCAAGGTTAACGAATACCATCAGACGCACTCTAAACAGAATGAAGCCAGACAGAAATACCAGCAGGGTCTACAATTTGTGAGCCGTCACAAATGGAGCAGATACCGTGGCAAGACCACCTGCTCCGATACTTTTCGATTGAACATGAACACGGATCACTGGGTGCAGGTAACGGAACTACCATCACTGACTCCGCGCGTGGTAATGCAAGGGGACATCACACACCTGGCTCCTACGACAAACACGCACGGCCCACGACGATTTGACGGCACTACCAATAACACCAAAACACAACGCCCAACCGCCGCACGTCAACGGTATCAAGGTTTTCTTGTGTTTTCAGCGGCAGCAAACAGTCAGCAACAAATTGATACACGATTCTGATCAGGCGATTAATCTGCACAGGCGATTAACTGCACATCGCACGCGGTCATCAATACACTCAGACACCTTGCACTTGCGTAAATCTCATTCGAGGAAATCAACAAGCATCTACATTGTACTGCACGCAATGCATGCAGCTTTTCCTGCCACGGATTCGCACTTACCCAGCGGGCGCTCGATGCATTCAACAACTAAATATAAGCGGCGCGCAAAATCCGACCGTGTTTGCCCAGCAGCGCTCAGTGGCGAGACTGTCCGTCTCGGCAGACTACACCCAGACCGACAAAGTGGCGTGGGAGGCGTCAGGTGCAGCATTTCGGCTCCGGTCTCGCTCAGCCCCAACCACACAGCAGCTTTAAGAGCCCCTGAGGCGGGAAAATTCTGGAAGACGTAGCCCCTCCGCGGAAAGCAGCATGGCCACCTTCATTGCTGAAGGGCAGAGCTGTCTTGGCACCAAGCTTCTGGCGCCGACACTTATCCTAGTTTGGAAGACTTGGATCTTATTGCCCCGAATGTATAAATTCGGTTCTTATATCGCCAAAAGGCGAACACGAGATGTAAAATAAGTGGATGTTGGCACGCTGACGTCAGCGGGGGAGGAGCGGCTATGTACATGAACGTCGAGCTGGAAGACATTGTTTCTTTGTGGAAGATGCATCTGGAAGACATCGTACGGTTTTGACCAGTATACACTGTCATGGCAAGGCCAACACGAGTGTTTCCAACACAGTGGGCAAAGTGCGTGCCAATATCATGCTGGCATCTAGATTTGCGTGGTAGCATTTGCAGTAACGGTGGATTGCTGTGCTGTGGAGCCGCTGGAGGAGCAACACTGATTGAGTTGACGTGAACGGTGCAGTGCTTATCTACACAAATCAACAGAGGCATGGTCACACAACACTAGCGGAACTGACCAAGACGCGTGGGTGTGGCCTTTGGCCAAGGCGTGCAAAAGTTAAGCACTACGTCGCAAGCAACCCGAAGGCCTACCCCGTGGGTGAACCGAGGCGACCCGAGGTGACCCGAGGTGACCCGAGACGACCCGAGGTGACCCGAGGTGACCCAAGGTGACCCGAGGTGACCCGAGAGACTCGTTGGCGTGACCTGCTGGAGCCGTCGGCGCAGGCACACCGTTCTCTTCGCGTATCACAGCAGTAAGAATGAAACACGGACTGCGCGGGTCGCCGCGAGGGGCGCCACCGGCGCCGCGACATGGACACAGCAGCGGTCCCGGGCACGGGGACCGGGACGGCGGACAGGACGCCGGACAAAGCGAGGGACACGCTGCGCGAGGCGGGAGAGAGAGAGGGAGAGAAAGGGAGAGATAGAGAGGACTCAGCGACGCGCTGGTTAGGAAGGCCGGAACTCAGTGACAGGACGAGAAGGAAGCGGAAAACCAGTGGCGCGGCATAGGCACGCTCTGCTGCCAAAACGCCAGGGCGAAAGAGCGAGTAGAGACGCGGAGGACGCGTGCGAAGCGCGAGGCACAGTGAGAGGTCAGCGAGAAGCGTGAGGCGAGACGAGACAAGAGTAGCGTGCTAGGAGGTCGAGCCACTGGACGACGGAGAGATGCGCCGGCCCGGAGCAGGCGCGTCCCGGCAAGCCTGGTGCGCCGAGGTGCTTCACACGGCGCTTGAGCACGTATCAAGGGTTGCCAGTTATAGCACAAGCGTCAAGGGTCGCCAGATACAGCGCGAGCGACGCTTCCCTAGCGTGCGATAACGATGGAATGTCGGCCATCGTACGTGAAAGAGCCGCTCGCCCGGCCGGGGCGACAGTCTGCAACAAGGGTGGAGAATGTCGAGAGAAGGCGGCGTGGCGCAGCGGCCGGAACAAACCTCTTCCAATGGCGATATGCCAGGACTGGACTGATTTCAATGCAAGGTGGTGAAGCCGCCGCCGCACTTGCCCTACTGCATTTTCCACCCTGGTCCCCGTAAACAGTAACATTGCTTAAAGATAACACGGCTACCGATCAGCAGAACATCCAACGCTGTATCACAACTCATCACTACGTGTCATGGACTTTCAATCGCGGCTCCCTTACCGTCCACTTCAGAGGGATATGTAGAAATTCAACGAATTCTCGCAGCAAACGCCGTCAATAAATAACTATAACTTTGCGCATTCAACAATCGCAGCCCCTGGTCAAGCGCTTTACATCGACGGTGAAGCGAATCGCCGATTAATAGACAACGCCGACGTCAATAGCCACATCAGAAACTGTACACGCGTGCGGTCTGCAGCCGGCGGCGGCGGTGGCTCGGTCGGTCGCGGGGGGGGGGGGGGCGCCTGTCTGTCGGGCGCACGGCGGGCTTCATCGTCGCCTCCTCAGTCTGAGACACAGAGGACTGCCGATTTGATGCATGTTACTTTGATGCTCTGAGACGATTCGCAGACAGCGCATGACTTTCGCACCTTATGGGGGAATGGAGGGCGCAGTTAAAACCGACAGCATCTGCTGCTGTCTTAGAGGTCAGCTTATTCATTGTGCATCCAGTGCAGTTTTAGTGCGGACTGATCCTGAAAGGTAGCGCCTAATTTCCCACGCACTTTTCGTCGAGACCCGACCGATTTCAGTGAAACCTCTCATGTGAAGCATTTCCTCATCCAGTGTCTTTTGAAGCAGTCTTCCCGCGTCCCGGATCAGTCCGCTTTGGAGTCTAGAAGTCACCGCCCGAGCCGCCACCTGCCGGCAGACCTACAGCGCCTCCGGCGGACGCCGCGGCAAACACAGCTCAGCCGTGTCGCGCAGCCTACAGGTCGTGGCCGAGGCGCTCGATCTCGTCCAGCATGAAGCGCACGTCGTCGCGCGTGACGGCCTGGTTGTTGATGATGTTGCGGAAGAAGTTGGGTCGCTGCGTAGAGGTGGTGCGCAGCGGCTGGTAACACACCATCAGCGTGCCGTGCTCCATCATCCGGGCCTTGATCGTCGGGCACAGCTGCAGGTCACATGGTCCGAGCTCAGCATTGCGACATGCGCGATGTACATGGGGACGAGTTCTGATCGTGGACGGCCTACACGTTCTCCAGGTCTAAAATTATTCTCGAGTGTCGAGGAACAGGTGACAAGACCTTGCTTTAGGCCGGAGCATAACATAAACCGACACCGTTTTTATTCGTATGCCATTTAGAAGCCGTCGATAGTAGAATAATTCCCGGCGGCTGAGGAACACTGACCTTGCCAAGCTCCTCCTCGCGATCGTGGTTGTGTGGCGTCTGGCGGAGACGGGCCGGCACGTACCAGAAGCAGACGTTCAGACACTCGGGCTCCTCCCAGATCAGGTAGAACGTGTCGCCGCGCCGCTTTATCTCCTGCACCATGAAGTCGGTGAGGTCCCACAGGTACTCCACGTGGTGTGCGAAACCAATGTCTCCCTGAAATGGTAAGAGGGAAAAGGTCAGGTTTCATCGAAAGTCTTCTGAGTAGAAGTGTGAGGTTTGAAAGCCTGACCAGCTCACGGGGTGACGTGTAAATTAATCAAGGGACCGCGGTGTACAAAATACGATATCTAAGAAGGGTGTGTGTCCATTTCAGTGAGCTAGTCAGCATATAAATCGGGCTGCACATGTTCCGGCTGTGAAGGCCACGAGAACAATGTACAGGCTGTTTCAACAGGCTAAAAGCAAGTCACATCTTTCTCAATAAAACCTGTGCTGGGGACGCACCGTGAATGCAGCCGAACGGTGAAGGAATATTGTCTGCCACACTGCCGCCCGTTCGAGATTTTTGCATGTCGCCCGAAGTGGTGCCGCGTGCCTCGTACCAGGTGGATCCGTCGGTGGCGGAGATCGCCAGCCCCCGCTGCTCAGCACACCCCGTCCGCAGCCTGAATTAAGCTCTGCGGCTTGCTAAAACGGTCCGGCTGTCAGCCTGCGCCATCCCGCCGCACGTCACCTCACCTTAGCTCGCCAGAGCAGCCAGAGCTTGAAGATGTCATTGTGCCGACCGCACTGGATGACTTTGTCGCCCGTGTCGAAGCTTGTGTCGTAGTGTTTGTCCTGCTGGAACAGGTACTCTGCACACATCTTGTTGCAGTTCATCAGCAGGCCCTGATGGTGAGGTAACTGTGGTGAGACCCTCGACTCCCGGTGTTCTATCGCAACTCAAGGCTGTGACAAAGTCCTGCCTAGGCATCTGAACTCTGAGAGCTCTGGTCACTCATTGTGACCATGTTGTAGTTGTAGTGACACTAGCCACGATCTTCAATGGTCATTGGAAATGTCGCTAGGTCCTTGTTGTTGGCATCACCAGGTGACACCGCTTCTATAATGGGCCATGGTAAATTGAGATCGATAGCGATCTTTATGGATATTGCTGGTCGCATTGAAAGCTGATTGCTGCGATCGTGCTAGCGGGCCCCGGGTTTCGGGTTTGGCTTTTTCCAATTTGGCTTTGCGTACAACCGTCCGAGGAACTTCCGTCGTTAGCAGCTATTTGGTATGCAGGAACGTTGGTGAAAACACGCGACTAATTTCTGAGCCCGGGTAACTTCAAATCCAGTGTAGAGCCTGAACAACAAACAAACTTGTTCCAAAAGTGCAGCATGTGAGAAACCAGCGCATAGAAACACGAGAAGCGTGGGAAGAAGGGGCAGAAATTTCCTACACAGTTTTGCCTTGTTTTGTGCCATGATGCGAGGGATAATGGCAAACGTTAAATTAAGTCAGAATAGAGAAGGGCGGATGTTTCATGGGCCCGCTACTGCTCCAGCATCGCGCATACACACAGTTGCCATTGGCACCAAGTGGCCGAGCGAATGAAGTCCTAGAGTTCGGAAAAAAGCCCGGGCTCGATTTTCCTGCGGGAGCAAAAATTACCTGCCTTTGTTTTTCACTGGGACTGAGAGTGTCAATATTCCCGGCATAGATAAACAAACGAAAAGTTCTGGCCGAGACTACGTTTCTCGCCATTCTGACAGCAGTCGTGTGCTCACGATCACAAAAGATCAACAACGCTGACAATGAAAGACGCCGTTAGAAAAGTTCAGCACATTCAGGAAAAACGAACACATCACAAGAAAAGGAAACAAAAACACAGCGAACGAAATGGCTTCCGTTCGCGCCTCGCTTTCGTTCCACACTGAGCGGCGTGTTCGTTTTGACTGGGGAGGGCACTAAGCTGTCGCAGCAGGAAAATTTACCGCAAACGCAGCAGCCGGAACCTGTGCCATTTTCAGGAAAATGGCAAAGAGCCTACATATGTCAGGATGAGGTGGTGAATACTCAATCTCTTGTCTCCGGGATTTAGACACGAGACCACTCAGCCGATGCCCTTCCAGACACAGCGGATCAGCTGCACGACTGAGCCTCACCCGAACATGAACCGCAGCCTATTGACGTCTTTCGGGATATGTGAAATAGACCGCTCACGTCTGCCCGGATACAGACAGCAGGCTGCTCACAGACAGCGGACAGCTCACAAACAGCGGACAGCTCACGTCCGCCCGGATACAGACAGGGGACAGCTCGCAGACAGCGGACAGCTCACGTCCACCCGGATACAGACAGCGGACTGTTCACAGACAGCGGACAGCTCGCAAACAGCGGACAGCTCACGTCCGCCGGGATACAGACAGGGGACAGCTCACAGACAGCGGACAGCTCACGTCCGCCCGGATACAGACAGCGGACTGCTCACAGACAGCGGACAGCTCACAACAACGGATAGCTCACGTCCGCCCGGATACAGACAGGGAACTGTTCACAGACAGCGGACAGCTCACGTCCTCCAGGACACAAACAGCGGGCAACCCATGCCCTCTCGGACACAGAAAGCGGAGCACTCACGTCCTCCCGGATATGGATGGTGGAGCACTGCAGCAGCACGCCCATCTGCTTGTGGGGGTTCCAGGTGACCGAGTCGGCCCTCTCCACGCCGGCGAACAGGCGTGCCTTCAGTTTCGGCGACAGCAGAGCGCCGCCGCCCCAGGCCGCCTGTGCAGGCACGCGCGCCAGCTCACCAGCGTGGTCACATGGCAGGGGCTTTCGTTCGGGGGATGTAGGAGACCTTGCTTCCAACTGTTCGCAGCACTATTGGTATCGTGAATATTTACCTTCAAGAAGCCTACTCCATTGATTTCGATGGGCTGCAGTTGTAAGAGGACCGTGTAAAACAATGGCCGAAGCTTTTCGCTTTCTTAAAGCCAAGAGAGCAACACTTGACAGGGCTTCCTCAACCACGGAGCCCTGGACCTGGGGCGCACACAACTCCGCTGTTCAGCAAGCTTATCACCGAACCGCGCATGACACTGAAACGCTGCAACACACGGGCCTGTCTGCAGCACAGCACCGTTCACCCTTACGTCAATGTGCATCCAGACTTTGTAGCGGCGGCAGATATCGGCGATGGCGTGGATCGGGTCGTACGCGCCCACCACCGTACTTCCCGAGGTGCAGTTGACGAAGAAAGGGATCAGACCCTTCTGCTTGGCCTCCAAGATGCTGCCGAAGTGGGTTGGAACTGAGTGAGTTTTGGTGCAAGATTTCCACTATGATCTTGACCTCACTGGCCGGTGTCTCCAGTACCCTCGCGTTGGCGGTGTTAGCTCGCCTAGCTTTGTCTGCACGGACGAGTGATATCATTCCTCCGGTTTGAGCAGTCTAGGTTTTCGTTTATCCTGAACTGAACAGGCCATATCAGAAGACAAACATGCACTATCTCCTTCAAAACAGGCAGCAGTTCGTCTCAGCTCAGCAATTCGTGTCATTTTAGCCGCAACCTATCAGGGCGCCGCACACCAGCAGTTAAGCCTCGGCTGCGTCCGGGGACGTCATGGCCTCTCACCGCGCCTCCAGCTTGGTGGCGTCCATGCGGCCGCGCTTGTCGCACGGCACCTCCCAGACGTTGTCCGTGCCCAGGCCGATCAGCGCTCCCGCCGTCATGATGGAGTAGTGACTCTGTCAGGAATGACGCAGACGGTCAGGACCCCGCCGTCATGATGGAGCAGTGACTGTGTCAGGAATGACGCAGACGGTCAGGACCCCGCCGTCATGATGGAGCAGTGACTGTGTCAGGAATGACGCAGACGGTCAGGACCCCGCCGTCATGATGGAGCGGTGACTGTGTCAGGAATGACGCAGACGGTCAGGACCCCGCCGTCATGATGGAGCAGTGACTCTGTCAGGAATGATGCAGACGGTCAGGACCCCGCCGTCATGATGGAGCAGTGACTGTGTCAGGAATGACGCAGACGGTCAGGACCCCGCCGTCATGATGGAGAAGTGACTGTGTCAGGAATGACGCAGACGGTCAGGACCCCGCCGTCATGATGGAGCAGTGACTGTGTCAGGAATGACGCAGACGGTCAGGACCCCGCCGTCATGATGGAGAAGTGACTCTGTCAGGAATGATGCAGACGGTCAGGACCCCGCTGTCATGATGGAGTAGTGACTAGGCGCCGGCTGTCGTGAACGATGGCTGCAGCACATGGCTGTTGGCTGCTGGCTGCTGTAGAGAGGCAAGCGTGGGCGGCCACACTGGCGGTTATGGGTGATCACGAAGGGTGATCGGTGAGTGGAGGTAGTGACCAGCGGAGTGACGCACGTCCCAGAGACGGTCACTGGTTGTCACGGAAACGATCGGGCTGCTACTCCAAGGCTCGAGACATGCGTCAGCCACGGTCACTGATTGCCACAAAAGGCTGTTGGCTGGTCACCCTATAGGGGATAACACGTACAGTCGACAATCTGTCATTATCACGTTGTTGCTGGTACGGATTTGTGATGCCGTGCTCATAGGATTTGGCAGACGAAAAAAAAAATTGCGTCACCCTGTTCTCGCCATGCACGCCGATCCAGGCGCCAAGCATCAGAAAAGATTTGTCTTGAATGTAAACTACTGACGCCGACGGTCTCCGGCACTAGCCGTGCAGCAGCATGGCACGGTGCCACGGGAGGCGCCGGGTGCCAGTGCTGACCGGGCCCGGCTCCGGCGGCCGGTGAGCCTGCAAGATCAGACTGTTCCGCCTGTGGCCGCTCGGACCGCCGCTCGGACCGCCGCTCGGACCGCCGCTCGGACCGCCGCGCGGACCGAGCGCGGCCGCCGCGGCTGCGTCGAGGTCGGCGGTCGGCGCCACTCACGTATTCGGACGTGAACATGACGAGCGGCGCTGGAAGGCCGTACAGCCCCTGCGCCTTCACGTGCGGGAACATCTTGTGCCGGGCCACCAGCGCCGCGTACAGGTTCGAGATGGTGCCGCCTGTGGGCAGAAGCAGACCACCCGCTCAGTCCGTATGGCGCCCGTCGGCGGGCGACGGAAGGGTCACGTGACTCCAGTGGTGGGCGACGATAGGGTCACGTGACACCAGTGGCGGGTGACGGAAGGGTCACGGGACTCCATTGGCGGTTGACGGGGGGGGGGGGGGGTCGCGTGACTCCCGTTCAAAAGATAAATTAGCACAAGTCGGCGGGCAGTTTTTTCGTTTTGGCCTTCAATGACGCAATTTGGCTAATTCGCAAGCAAATTAACACCGTTATGATACAAATAGCTCCCTATAATCTCGTGATGCTACGCACGGAATGCTAATAAATGAGTGCGCCATCTTTAAAATTTGACCTCGAATTGCAAGCAAGGGAAATGGATACGCTACCAACCTGCAAGGTATCTTTATTTAACGACACTTGCATCTTCCACATTTACGCGGTTTTTACACGCTCACTTAAGTCATCGCCACTTCAGCGCGGTTCAAAGGTAAAAGGTCCAAACACAATTGCCAGTTCGACCTCTGGAAGCGGCTGGCGGCTGGCTGCCCGCGGCCATCCGGTCCCCGCCGGCGCCTACCTGGGCAGAGGATGCTGTCGCCGTGGTCCCTCCAGCCGATGATCTCTCGCATCTTCTGCAGCGTCTCGGCCTCCATGAGGATGAAGACGGGTGCGATCTCGTAGGTGAACATGTTGGTGTTGGCGGCGGCAGTCAGCCACTCGCCAGCCAGTGAGATTGTCTCCAGGCCCGTCGATAGCTGGTTCATGTAGCGCGGGTGACCTGACGGTCAGGCCAGGTCGGGTCAGTTCAGAATCGTGACAGGCCAGGTCTTTGCCGCACCCTTCCCAACACCTCTTGAAGCACTGTATACATGGCAGGGGTTTTCTCAGGGGGAGAGCCAATGTCGCATTGCCTCCAAACTTCTGCGACTTTGGACCGAGCCTCCGCGAAATCGCCCGGTATCTGGTGTAAATCGCTCGGTATCTGGTGTAAATCTCTTGGCCCAACGTGGGGCGATGTTCCCCCGTTTCCCCGTGCTACGCTCCTGTAAAGCACATGTACATTTTTGGTCAAACAGTTGTAACCAGCGGGCGCCAGAGACCAAGGGGGTGTCACGGGGACCGCGGCTCCACACTGAGATAAGCGCACCCTTCATTAGATATGGAGCATTTTCGCAGCAAAATAGGTGAAGTATGACAAATTGGACGCTTCGTGCCAGGAAAATTCCAGCTACGTGCGTGAGACATCATTCTGTTTCACTTAACCATTTCCATTTTTTAGGCGACAGCTTATCTACCCATTCACGATATGCGATGTATCAGAGTTCTGTCGTTGTTCATTCTTTATGGACTCGGCGGCTGCAGTGCGTCAAGCGCGTTACTTATGGCGCCCCGTGAATCTTCCCAGCACGATCAGCTGTCTACCAAGTCCATCGCACCTCCCAGCGGCCGGCGGAAGGCTTCGGCGCGCCGCCGCGCCATCTCATTTCCCGCCAACGAGCCAATCTCCTGCGCAGCGTCTATCGTGGCGCCATCGCGGCGAGTTCATCACGCCGCGGCCGGCCTCGTGTCCGCGGGTGCCGCTAAATCACTGCCGCAGCACGCGCCGCTAAATCACTTATCTGGCGCGTTTTGTGAGCCGGCGTCCCGCGGGACACGAGGTAAAAAAAGCGCGCGCGAGCCGCCGACGAGGGTGCGTGTCACCGGCGCCGTAAGTGGTTTTCTTATCTGCGGCCGGCATATTTGGCGCGGCCGAGGCGTCTGAATGCGTCCGAAGCCGATGTAAATGAACGCATTGTGGCCGGGCGCTGATTTATAGAGGCGCGCCGTAATTGAATCAAAACAGCGTCGATCGCGCGGAATAGCAAGCAAGGGCGGCAGTGCAGACCAACGGGCCGATCTCGCCGAGCGATACGGCTGACTAATTGTCCGCGAACGAGGCGGCTCAAGCTGCTTGCTATCGGTGCCAGGTTGTTGGTACAACTGCCCGCTTGATAGCTCCAGGATGTTTTATGACACTACCGGGAGTACAATCTTAGAAGATGTTAAAAGGCAGCATTGCTAGCTGGGCTACACGCACACAGCCGCGCAACGGTAATGTAATGGAGATCAACTTTGGCTTGGATGCTAACTCCAAGGAATGGCGGTCATCATTTAGGCCCATGGGTGTGGCAACGTCTTTGTGATTGGGAAAGCGAATCAGTAATGCAGGCTAACTGGAGCCTGGGGTACCTGTGACGCCTCGTGAATCACTCGCCCTGGCCGGTTCCAGCTGTGCCCCTTGCATTGTCCAAACTTTACATTCATCGCAGCATGTATGAAGCTGAGATGTAATTTGAACGTTTCGTCAGAGTATTTTTAAAAACATCAAAAGCAAAGTAATTGGGCCCGCCGGGCGGATGGTAAGGCTGACGACATCTAAAATACGGAAGCTAGTTATTTGAAGGGAACTTTTGGTCCCGTTTCTGTTCAACTCTCCAGCAATGAGGTGAGGATGACTAGCTACTGACCATTATTGTGTTGCCTCCAATGTTGTAAACCAATCGAACGGGTTGGAAAAAGATAATAGGCTGTGCCCCGAGGCGCGATGTATCCCGGCACAGCATACCTCTCAGGTGGCATTCTGAAGTGCTCAGGCCGGTTTCCAAGGCAGCCGGTCTCTGCGCCGTGTGCTCCCTTCCGTCGCTGCAAATTTATATGTGGCTTTCGCGATGGGTGGGTGAATGCAACGCCCGCATGTGTATTTCAAGTGCGGCTCTTGCCCTAATATGTAGTGCAACGCCATCGGTACTATCACGCGAGTTATCGCGAGGCAGTGCTTAACTGGAGTAATTTCGTCGTTGAGTTACCTCCGCACCGCTTATTTCACATCAGCAGTCGCCGCGCTCCGCTGCAATACGCAGCATTTGACCTTAAAACTTTCGAGCCGTGTTGCCCACTTTTAATTTCGGGGTCCACTCATCCGCTGCGACGAGCGCTGTCGGCGACAGGCGGGCGGCGACCGGGCCACAAACGGCCGACGGCCGCCCGCGGCTGACAGCCGAGCGCCACCGAAGAGGTTATAATTCCCGCGATACGCCCGACTTACAAGACCTTCTAAGACACTAAGTCCCTGTAAAGCCGTCACATCCTCGCAACCTTGGACGGCCTGGCGGAGGGTCGCCATGCTGGGAGCTTAGCGATTCGGGTGACCTTTCCTCGGCCCAGCGAAATGCCTCGGGGGCCCGCATATGCCTCGCGGGCAGCGTGACACACCACTCCTGGTCGGGTGAGTCATGGCCGACGCTGGCTGCTCCGTACATTTTGATTGCAAGCCAGATTGGAAATGGCAAGTTGTTAGTTGTTTGTGAATATTTCACCACCACCGATATTGGCAATCTGCCGGGGCAGGGTATGCCGAGGAAGAAGAGGTACAAAGGTTCACTCACGTGCCAAGCTCCCAATTCACATCGGCTGCTAGCCAAATTGCATTACCCGGTTAGTACCATTGTTTTATACTTACATTTGCATGCACGTATGTTTCCCAACTCACCCGTCGCCCCTGCGCAACACTGAGCTATTCAGGCGGCCCTGCCAGCCTAACTACCCCATCCGACATAACCGGACCACTCCTACCAATATAACCGGACCACTCCACCCCATATTACCGGATCACCCCACCCAACATATCCGGACCACCCCACCCGGCATAACCGGATTACCCCACCCGACATAACCGGACCACCCCCACTCGACATAACTGGACCACTCCACCCCATATAACCGGACCACTCCAAACCATATAACCGGACCACCCCTCCCAACATAACCGGACCACCCCACCCAACATAACCGGACCACCCCAGCTGGCATATCCGGACCACCCCACCCGACATTAGGGACCACCCCCACCCGACATAGCCGGACCACGCCGGCTGCCGGACCGGCCAGCCGAAGCCTGATGTCCGGTGGCGGACCGTCGTGCGCTCGGCGTCAGCGGGCGCCGCGCCTCCTCCGGACGGCGCTCCCCTTCCCCGCGGCGGCGCCGACAGCCGGACGCGGCCCACTAGTCAGCTGTCGACGCCACGTGACGGCCGTGTCAGCGCCAGCCGGCACTCGGCCGGAGCTAGGAGCGCGCATGGACGCCCGGGGAGGCGCCGGCGGGGTCAGAGAGCGAGTCGGCTGGGGCCCGGCACCGCGACGGACCGACGGGGCAGGGAGCGGGCACTCGGCGCCGTCACTCGCCGTCACACGTCGTCACACGCCGTCACTCGCCGCAGTTGGCGTCGCTGCCCTGCGGCCCAGCATTGGGCGACTGGCATAGCTGGGGGCGTGGGTAGTGGTGAAGCAGCGGAAACGGCGCAGTCTTTAAAGCCCTTGGTGTGCTGCACACTTAGTCGCGCAAAAACTGCGCGTTGGACGTGATGAGCTGTCTATGAGACTGTCTACCCGACGACGCATGCCTGGTGTACGGCTTCAAAGCATCTTGCCGCGGTGTGCAGCGGTGTTCTCTGGCTTGCTGGACCCGTCAGTAGCGAACGGCGCCGTCGCATGGCTGTGGAATACACCGCGCCAAAATTTCGTAGTTGCTGCGATGCTAATCATTTAACGTTCACCATTTCATCGTAAGGAATTGATTTCCAATTTGCTTTCAGTTGCTGTCTACAAAATACAGTTTTAATCAAAACTATCGTAAAATGCCAGTTACGTGGCGCTTTACGGCACGAGTGGATTCAGCTTTACGGGATCCAGCTGAACGAGACTGGCTGCCAACGCTGGCGCAGTTGGAGGTATTTCAGCTCTCTTGTCCAACACGACCATTGTGCGCGATCCAATCACTCGACTAATAGATGCCGATTTATGGGTCCATCATGTGGCGCAGGGCTTGCCGCCTGACGACAGCCTAGCCCGGTCTGGACGTAAATAAAGCGTTTGATGGTAATCGGCGGGGACCCAGATGCTTCCATCATCCCCTAATAAATTCCCCCCGCCGGCGCCTGAGTGTTATTAAAAGCTCCGATTGGAGAGACCCGGTTGGAGAGGGGAGGGGTTAAGCCGCGTCGGCGGACTGCGCGCCACGGAGAGCGGTTTCCAAGGGAGCGCACTAGGCGTCACGATGTTATAGTCTCAATTTGTGCCGCGGGGCCAACGCGGAGCTGGCACGGATTCCAGCCTCAGGGCTGCGCAATGCGTGGGTTTACACATTGCGCAGCCACAAAACTGGAATCAGGAAATGTGGTCTGTTTATGGATAGTTGCCATACAAAGCTCCAAGTGAGACCAGCACACCAAAAAGTGGACATTTGCTTAATTCCATGAACGTGTCCGCGCTTGTTTAAAAAAAGAAGTGATATCTAAAATACCAGCGGGGCACTCTTCGTTCCAAATGGGTCTCACCACTATATGCGGCTTAAGAAACCAGAGTTCCGATGGGAATGAACGAAACAACTTTGTGCTCCATTTCAATAGGATCAATTTGGATCTTAAGCGTAGTCTTAGATTTAACAACATGACACGCATTGCATGAAGCAATCGCCACCCTGACAAGCAGTGCAGCTCTGCAACTTCGCGCAGCTGCCTCGCTCTGTGCCACAGACGTCAGACACGCTCCACAGCATCTGCCACGGGCCCAGCAGAGTCCGACTATCGGCCTAACCACCCGCCATTCAGCCCCACTTATTCAGTCGTAAATAAGCTATCTGACTGAATGGGAGCGCTGGGACACGCCTCCCCTGTCGTCCGTACGTCAGCCTAGTTACGACTCCATTCCGGAATAATTCCCAATTCCGCTGGCTGAGTGAAAAGTAATGGAGAGACCCCAAAAATACGAAGATTTCGGGATCAGGCAAAAGCTGGGGGTATTAATGAAAATCCCCAACATATTTCAGACTGACATATTTGCCGGGCGATCTCGGAAAATGTTTTGCTGTGGTGGGGAGCCTGAGGCGCGGGATGCTGGTCGCTAGTCATCCGTCGCCATGGCGGACAAAACAGAACAAGAGTACGGCGCCAGCACCACCGCCAGCAACGCTAACGCTCCCCGGCGTTTGGAACCAGGATACGAACCTTCATTACAATGTTGAGATTTATGCAAAAGAACACGTCATGGGAAATTTGCAAACTTCCGGTGGCTGCGAGGCAGCGATTGACGAGGTCAATTTGTCTCAGACGAATTCGCCACTCGAGCCGCAGACGTATTCGACGGCCGAGACGGATGACGACGCGAAGCTCAGGAGGGGGGGGGGGGGGGGGGTGATCTTACGCCAGTTTGGAGATCCTCGAGGACTATCTGGAGACTGGATTACCCACAAGCGCGTGAAATCCCACTCGCTCGCTGCCACCGTGAGCCAGCCGTCGCGGGCCGGCGTGGGGGACACCGCCGGCCGTCGGGGCCGACCCCAGCCGGGACCTCGCGCCTGCCGGTGGCGCCGAGAGAGACCGATGGCCGCTTGAGCCCGGCTTGAGCCCGGCCTGCAGCCGACACCAGTGTGTGATCGATGGCTGCAGGGATCGGACGCGCGGGCTGGGCGGCGATCGTGCATACCTCGGGCGTCCGCGGCGGGGCGCACGTCAGGCTGTGGAGGGGCCTCCTGGCCGTGGTGCCCGCGCGCTATCCACACGGGGGAGCACGCAGGAAAGAGCGAGGGAGAGAGGCAGGGAGAGAGCGAGGTGGGAAGAACGAGAGGGGATAAGAGAGATAAAAGAGATAATACAAGATAAGTCAACTGTTACTGTCGCAATTCGGGAGTAGACCTGGCCAGATATTCGCTGTCGCAATGTTTAAGCGCGTAGGTCAAAGGTGTAGCTCGAAGTGCTGGTCGGAAGTATAGGTGAAAAGTGCTTGAGCGTATAGGTTAAATCTTGGGAAATTAGATTGAATTCTGATTATATTCCACTCCGTCACGTCTCAAGGCTGCAGCTTGCCAGAGACGCTGTTCTCAGACCATTTATGGCATGCGTCTCTTTGCAACGGCTCGATTTGCACCTTATTGTCAGTTCGAGGGAATACTTGTTTTGTTTGGTTGCGGCATCCCATATCTAGCTCAACACCGGCATGATACGTTCATGTTGAATTGAACGACATGGTGTAAAGACATAAGACCTTGCATAAAAAGCAGCATTATGCAGTTCATATAGCATGACAAAATTATTAGATATGAAGCGACTGCACGATTTCACATGCGACTAAAACCTCAAAGCTTTCGCCAACGAGCCCCACAACGCTCGCTTAGCAAAGCAAGTGAGGCCGAGTTAGATATTTCACACACTGTCGCCGTGTAGAACTATTTGTAATAGTCAAAATATATCTCCAAACCCAGGGCCCATCCATCGTCTTTGAAGTGTCGCTCGTGCAGCGAAAACCTGCCCCGTCCCCCGTCCCTCCACCTCCCATGTCCGCGAGCGTCGATTTTTCACGGCGGTGCCTATCGGCCGACATTAGCGCACGAGGTCCGTCCATCACGGGCCCAAGTGTTTTAACCCCGCAGACGGCCGGCCGCCATCAATCAGCTGACTCTGACGCGCGTTGGCAGGGGCGCTTTCAGCCGCCGCAGCAGAAAAAACGGCCGCGCGCGAACGCGGCTTCTGCTGCCGCTGACATCGCCGCGGGCGATTCTGCTGAGCCTGCCAGCGGATTGGTGGGATTGGCGCGCGGGCTCGAGTGTTGACATTTTAATTAGAGGCGGATGGAGCCTGTTTGCACTCCGGCTTACGACGGCACCCCCGATATGTAGATAAATAGCGGCACGTGGCTTTTCTCACCTATCCCGCCGGATTTGAAACGGTAGAGGGCGGTGAGGCTGACACTCGGGTGAGTACTGAGAACGACCTGAGCATTGGGTAAGTAGTGTTAGGTGCATAGGAACAAGGATGTACTCTAGTGTCTTCGAGCGACCAAAAAAGAACGCACATTGACGACCGCTCCAAGGTTGGAGGGAGTGTTTCACGTTTATACGGGGTTTTGAATTGAAAAAGCCATCTTAAAATGCATTCGGTGCAGTTCTCAGCAATTCCCTTTTTGGGACCCAAACCTTTCTAGTGTCCGAGATGCAAGCCCGCGAAGATGTGCGGGCTTTTTCGGGAGATTATTTCAAGATCGCCTTGATATCCGTCGCGTACTAATAACATAATTCAGATGCTGCCATTTCATTGGCCATTCGGCGCTCAAGGCCAAGAAAAACTGAATTATCGAGTCGTTCATATCTGGTGTTCGTGAGCATGATTTCCAGATATAACGGCCATTAATTGGATCTCAATCAATGTTGTGCAATGTACAATAATGCAATGAAAAGGTGATGTACTGTGGAGCTTAATTACTGAACAGAGAAATTGTGTTGCCTAGAGCGGCCTTGGCACCTAAAAGTATACCAATGGTTATTGGTGAGCCTGTTTTAACATCTATAGTCATTGTTTCAATATCATCAAATGTGGAACGTTTGCTTCAATCTGAAGGGATTCATCACTGTCAGCATCATTTTTTGCACGCTGACCGCAAAATCAGGGCATTTCATGATATTATCAGCCAATATGCATGCATACATGCAGCGGTGCGATAAAGGAGGAATGATATGCAGTAGGGAACTCCAGATGTGTGCAATCAAACGCAAGACAAAAGGCGTCCGCCAAACCTCGGTTTATTTGCTAGCTACCTACTTTATGTATTGTCTGTCCACCATTCCAGCTTGGCTTCAAACATTGTGTGCACATCTCACACGAGCGAGATTCAGAACCGCTACAGCAGTGCACATCCTCAGATGTTTTCAAAGTTCGGCCCTAAAGCACCAACAAAGCACCACCTTTTACCACGACCACCTCGAACATCCACCACCAGCAGAGAAGGGCTGCGTTCCTACCTGCTTCCATCCACGGAAACACGCGCCTCTAAGAGCGCCTCCCTTTGAGGCAGGCCGGATGAGCCGGGCTTCTCTCGCCGCGGCGCTCGGCGGCCTTGTTCGGCCGCCATTTTGCCAAGCGTCTCTGGCGCCTGGTGCTGACAGGTCGCCACCAGATAGTGGCCAACTTTGGCGTCGGATTACGGAATTAATTTCCTCTGGGCGGTGATATCGTGAAGAAACGGCCGGAAGCCTCAGGGGAATGGTACGAATTCTGTCAGCCTGGGTGCAGCGGCCGACCGTATTTCGCTTCCACTGGCCGCGTTTGGCATGACTGAGTGGATGACGGTGCGGTGGCGGGCGACAGTTCTAGGAATGCTTCGACAGCATCCTGCAGTGGCGCGATGAAAGCGAAAACCCGTATGCGTGTCGTGCAAGATGCACGGGCTCTCTCTCTCTACAGTTTCATTCCACTGTTTTCGATCGGATCCGGCTATTTCTTGTCCTTTTACTGACGTGTGGGTTGTTCGTTTGGTGTCAGCGGCTCTTAATAGGCGATGACGTAACTGCCTGCGCACCGCTTGGACTATTGCTCTTCTGGCCCGATGAATCCAGCAGAGTTGTCGTCAACGCGGGGACGAGGAGCATATTACTTTTGGTGTTTGCCTTTCGCATATGTGCACAAGAATACGTTTAACATGCGTTACGAATGGGAGGAGAATGCGTATCCATGCGTGGTCGGCTTTCATATGTCAAAAAGACTGGAGTATATGATGTTTCGTCCCCCTTCAAGTGAGTAGCGTGCTCATAAAAATGCCTGTGATCGGAACAATATGAAATTTACTACCTATAAATTTACACGTAGAGGAAGAAAGTGTGCAGAAGCATGCGTGGTTTGGCACGCGTGGAATACATTTCCAAACCTGATTTAACCAAGAATACTAACCGAGACCGACACCGATCACCCTAAAATCATGATGTGTCGAGTCCTTATGCTTTCGGTGGTCGCAGAGGTGGTCTTGCCCTCCCCGTCCGCTCTTCCGGGGCGGATGAATGTTGAAGCCCCGCTCAACTCGACGCATGTGATGCCCTCTGTCAAAACCCGGGGCCACTGACCTGTGCGAACCTGGTACTTGAGCGTCTGGCTGCAGTCCTGCAGCAGCTGCTCTATGGTGACACCCTTCTCGGGAATGTAGAGGTCCAGCACCCGCTTCAGCTCCTCCGGGTGGTGGAAGTCGATCACCTTCTCGTTCCTGTCGAACGTCTTCTGAATGAAGTCGTACAGGATGTCGACGACGCTCTGCAGGAACTCCTTCGTCTCGGGGAAGCCCTCCGAGTTCTCCGGCAGCAGGTCTGTGGAGAGTGCGGTAACACGGTCAGGCACTGTAAACTTGGGGCCGCGTTTGGGCTGCAGTTCTGTGTGGGCGTGACGTCAGGGTCAGGCACCGTGCACTGCAAAGTGCGTTTAAAAGAGAGCCGAACAGTTTCTACGCGTTTCTTGTGACTGAGTGTAGATTTCTCATCGTCGTTCATATGAATAAACAGTGCATGCATGCACGTCCTAATCAGGTTGAAAAACGAATGCTTGGCTAGCTACGTACACATCTGCCACATTCGCGGAGTTCATCGACTGTGCTTCCGGCTGCATCTCCGACAGCCGCACGTTCATCAGCCGCTCGACAGCCGCTCGCAGTGGGCAGCAAGACAGCCGAGCCCACCGCGGCCCTGCCCGCGTGAGATGACCCCCGGCGCTAAGCCAGTCCGGCGCCGCGCCGCTCCTTTGTCCGCCGACGGAGCGGCCGCCGCCGCGTCATGCCGCGGCAGCCGGCCCCGCCCCACGTGTCGTCGACAGCAGAAATTAAATCGCCGGCGCCGACGCGCGCGAGTAATTGGCGTATTTATATATGCGGCCGATCTGCAATCAATGGGCTGAGAGCCTCAATTAGGCGCAGGGGGCGGCCGGCGGTCGGCGGCCGCAGCTGCTACCCGGCCGGAAAAACAGAGGGGTGCGAGCCCGTCCGGCCCGCGCTGTCCGCCTGCGCCTCGCAGGCTGGGCCCGCCTGCCGTCGGCCACAGGCGCGGGACCGCCTGCCTGCTCGCGCGCCGCCAGCGTCGCGAATTTTCCGCGCCGACTCATTCCAATATCGCGGCGGCGTTTCGCATGGGGCGGCGCGCGCGTCAGCTGACGCTGGGCGCCCCTCTCTGCGCGGATGCTCCGAATGCCTTTGCAGCCGGCTGACTCCGGAATGTGTGGGGAGCTGGCAACATATTGCATCAGGCCGTCAGCGAAACTTTCATTTTCGCTGTGAGATGGCTCACAATATTGTGTCGGCGGCGCCAGCACCAGTGAAGGCCGCCTGAGGCGTGATTTGTTTACTGAACGTGAAATGTCGAATCGTGCTGGTGTGGATACGAATGGCCGTAATAACCTTTGGTGGCAGCTGCAGCGCCGCGGAGGCTTGTCTGAATAACTGTGTTACTTCAGTGTGCTCCAGAACACCTTTTTCGCGGGAAACAAGGATGCCGGAAGGTTACAAGAACGGGGGGCGCCCCTGGATTCCCTGTTCATATCAGCTATTCTCGTGCATCGCCATTCTAAGTACCACGTAACTGTACACCCAAGTTTCTCATGCACATTAAGATTTATCCAAATATTACCGTGGTACATACCTAAATATACCTAACTAAGTGTTATTCGGTCTGAAAGACTATTTTCGAAATCAGTCTCAGAAGCTCAGATGTCCCGTCCTAAAAAAGTGGTCTCGGGCGATTTTTTTTATCGAGCTTCATCGGTGCATGCAGAATTTCACAGTGGGGGAGGAGGGACAAGACAGTTCGAAACTTTTTCACTGAAAATCACGTCTCAGCGTGCCGCGAGTGCGCAAAATGTCATCCATAACGTGCTAAGATCGCGTGATTTCAACACGTCGACTTAATTGGTCCCACGTATTTCGATTATTATTACATGTGAATGTCATCAGACACTCCCCTCAAATAAGCCGAAGCGACTACTGTTCTTTTAGAACCAATTTCATTCAATGTTTTCCATGGCTGGCTTTTGCCACCCTTTCTAAGCACAGCATTTTGCGCGAACGGGTCTTCACACCACAGGAGCAATTTCAACTCGGTATGGAATTTTGCCAAAAGATCGTAACGTCTCGTCGCGCATCACAATGTCACAAACATCGCAACATTAAAAACATCACAATGCCACAAACATCACAACACTGGAACATCACAATGTCACAAACATCACAACATTAAAACGTCACAATGTCACAAAGACCGCAACATTAGAACATCACAATGTCACAAACTTCACAACATTAAAACATCACAATGTCACAAGTATCACACGGTAGCACACGTCACAATGTCGCGAGACGGCTGTCGCTTTCAACCGGACTTTCTTGACCATCCCCGAGCTGGACGACATAGGCGCCTAGGCACGTAGGCACGACATAGGCACGATTTGGGACGTGCTCAGGCATGTTTTCCACACGTTGGTCAGGGCGCCCGACGCTCTACCCACCGAGCTGCGGGGACGGCAATCTTTTTCTGACCTTGCACTTTCAAAAACACAGGTATAACGGGGTGAATAGCCACTTGGGTTTCATCCACCGATTTGCGAACACATTTGCCCCGTGGCCTCTATGACAAGCTTTCTTTTGCAGTGAAACATACGGGTGCGTATGGTGTCTTCCATAAAAATGCGCTTTTCAAATCATTGCAATTCAATGGCTTCTCGCAGACTATGCTTTCGACGCACGCGCTTCATTCCACCATGTCAGCGGCGCCAGAGCCCGGCCACAACGCCAAGATGGGGCTCTCAAACAAGATGGTACCGACAAGATCAAGATCTCAAACATCACTTCTGTTTAAAATTTTGCCACATCGCTTCAACCGTTCATCCAAATATGCCTGTCCCTCCCTGTAGCCTGTCTCGGCCCACCCAATGTGGATCAAAATAGGCGAAAAGTTAATGAACACGAAAAAACACGCGATCTCCGAAGAAGTTCGTTGTGGTCTTTTTTGAGGGGTAAAACAGTGTTCAAACGAATGTGTACATGCCAGCATCTGCAACCACCAAGCGTTTTCCGTCGTATCTGGTTCACGAATCCAGCCCTAACGTTTTCTTCAGTATCCAACAATAATACCCAACAGAACTCATTTGAGAGCCCGCGTGACAAAAGAGTCTAATATCGCATGTTTTCGTCGTCTGCGGCGAGGGCGACTAGGTCGACCGTTGCAGCCAGCGCCGACGCATTAGCGGCCTTATTGATCCGCGGGCCACATCTGTTAGGCCCGGTTTAATTAAACCGGCTCTGTGGGCGCTATAGGCGAACTGGGAAGATATAGGAGCGCAGCGGCTGCCTCCGCTCCACGCTGTTCTCCATTTCAGTACATCAAAAACAGGCGCAGCGTTACAGACGTTCTTTTTTGGGAGAGCTGCTGGGTGAAAGCGTAGCGGAGAAAGCGGATTCCTCGCGCATTACCCACCCACAAGACATTGGAGGCGCAGAAATCAATCAATTTAAAGGGGCGCGAACGAACAGCAGATGAATCTTGCCATGCCACTGGCCGCGCCAGCACGGGACAGCACGTCCTGACACCGGACGCCTAACCAACCCTCCCATCTACCGGGCCCGCTGTGGGATCAACATCCATGGCTCCCGCCCCCCACCATCCCCGGCGTCCCACTCTTCGTCGACACGCGGACGGTGACGCCGGGCCGTCCAGACCGCCGACCCTCAGGTCGCGCGGCGGCCGCGGCGACGCTTGACCCCCGGGGCGCGCGGCGGCCGTGGCGAGGCCCGACCCCCGGGGCGCGCGGCGGCCGCGGCGACGCCCGACCCCCGGGGCGCGCGGCGGCCGCGGCGACGTCCGACCCCCGGGGCGCGCGGCGGCCGCGGCGAGGCCCGACCCCCGGGGCGCGCGGCGGCCGCGGCGACGCTCAATACGTCCCCAGATTGCAGGCAAACAATCACTAATGTCTAATCGGATCCCGTCGCCCTCAGCCGCACGAGCCCCGATAGCCGGTGGCTAATTGTGTGCCGGCGCGCGGGCCGGGGCGCGCCGACGGCCCCCAGCTGGTCAGTCTCATGAGGCAGAAGACGGCAGGTCACCGCACGATCCCCCCCCCCTCCCCGTCTCCCTTCCACTGCTCTTTAGCCGGTCAAACGACGGGCTTTGTGTTCCGGCGTTCATTATGCGCACATGATGAAAGCATGGTGTCCTTGTATGTGTACCTGGTGCAATGATGTGAAATCGATTAAGTTCATGAAAAATGTTTCCACACTCACTCCTCTCAAAAGCAAGTCGCATATACCAAAGAGACGGTGTCATTTCAACAGGCAGATCTTGCATGATTACCAATGTAGAACAGCATAAATGTTTTCGCCGACTGAAAATGACGCATGGCCATCACGATTCGTGTGCACAACGTGAACAATGGAATAAATCCGGAGCCGCTGAATAAAGCCCGCACCAGCGTCTGAGTGCGCCCCAGGTCACGTTACTCGCTCTGGTGACTCTGCGCCGTCCCCGCGCATACGAGGACACGAGTCTCTTCAGCCTTCACAATCCGACTCTCTTCCGGACCAATCTGAAAACGCTTTTAAATCGCACAAAACGTCGATGAACGTTAATCGGTTCAGCGGGCCCGAGCCGCCGCCGGCGCTAAAAACAGAGGGCGGCCTCCGCCGGAGGGCAGGGGAGCGACAGGGGGGGGGGGGGGAGGAGCGCAGGGGACGGGGGAGGGTGAGCTAAGCCCGGCTCTGTCCGGTGACAGATGGAGACACGGGGCCAGGCCGATCGGACCGGCCGTGCGGCCGGCGCGGCCGCCGCGCCGCGTGCGCGGCGTCCGGCCGGGGCACGTGCTGCCGAGCGTGCCGAGGAGGGCGGATCCCGCGTCCGTCGGTCTGAGCCGGCCGTGGGAACGGACGGCGGAGCAGCAGACCGGCCTCCGCGACCGTGCGCCGGACACAGCGCGTGGTGATACGACGGCCAACGCTGGGGCGCAGAGAACGTCTCAGTGGATCCGAGTGAAACGTCAATCTCACTTTGAGTGGTCCATTCGCAAGGCGCCGTATATAAATGAATTATGGATTTTTATGGATTTTTATGTGGGTTTCAGTCTTCGGGGAAGTACAAAATGCTAATGAACTGTTGGAAGCGAGCATGCCTCACCATTGTCAGCATATTGCTGTCATGTTACTAGACTGGAACACATGAGCGACAATTATCATTGCATTCCTTTTTAAGGTGCCGGCCCTGCTTGAAAGCATCTTAATCGCTTTATTCGCCCTTCTTCTCTCAAGCAAAAAGTTATAATTTCTAAGTGCAGTTTTGCA